CGGAGAGGGGAGTCCCTGCGGGGAGCGGTGACTGACAGTCACTACTCTCTGCAAGGAGATGATCGGGAAGTGAGCGAGCGGCGGTATGTGTTCGCTCACTTCCCGATCTATAGAGTCCACATGTGACAGTTTCATTGTCACACGTCGGCTCTAACTAGGAGGATGAGTGAAAATCACTCACCTCATAGTTCTCCTTTAAGTCTTCTTGTGGGCTGATAACACACAGCATTTCTGCGGACTGAGTGGTGTCAGCTCTGCCCAATAATCGCTTGCTAAATTACTCAAACCCTCCCCCATCCTATTCTCTATAACATGCAAACGAATCATTCTCTAGTCCGAAGGTAGGGACAGGGAGGGATAATTAGACTCCTTGAAATAACACAGGAAGTGTGCACAGGACGGCTCTGAAGTTCTGAAATGATTAACAGGTATATTTTTTGCACTTATCAAAACAGAAATAACAAAAAACTTTCAGTGGTATATTTAAACAGAACAAAAAGGTAGAAAATAAGAGAAGTTCATTGTTGAGGATAACACACACTTTAAACTTAGAAACAGAGTTTTGAAACATTTGAAAATATATGTGAAGCCACATTGCTGCATCAACACACCACTACAAAGAGTGTCCCCTAACATGCAACAAATATATAGCATTGCATAAAATGAGAGCAGGATTGCCTTGGAGCCACTTCCTGCTTAAAGTGGAACTGACCTGCCAGTTGCTGCGGAGTTCCTGCCATAATAGTAAAAGTTTATATAAACCAAATGTAATACATTGCAGCTTACCAGTCCTTGCATGTGGCGGCGCCTTTGCTCCTTACTTCAGGTCCAGCTTTCCTCTTTGGCCACTGCAGATGTAACTCCTGTGCATGCGTGCTAGGGCTACACTGTACCGGCACTTGACTATATTTCTGCTATCTTACAGATGCTATGTGTACACTGCACATGCTGCTCAGGCAGTATACACATGAAAGACAAAATTGCTAGGAGAAAGAGGATGAAGCTTTTTACCATAAAAGTCTACCTACTAGCAATTTCTTGTAGGGTTTAGTCCTCCTTTAAAGGTACAGCAAGACTTCAAAAGCTCAGAGTCATTCAAAGAAGCTGGAGACCCCCAGTATGTGTCTGCACCAAAAGTCCAACAAAAAAAAGAAAATGACATTGCCAACTGGGACACAGGCACCAAGCCTGACAGTAGTTCTAACCCTTCTCCAATCTATCCAAAACCAAGTGGAGTTCTTCTTTAACCCAACCAATGAATAATGCGTCAGGAGAAAATATATGCCCCGGCACTGTCCAAAGCTTGCAATACCAGATCAAGCTCCGGCCCATGTGATTTCTCTTACTTTACAACCCTTAAAATGCAGGGAGGAAGTCATTAAAGAGTATGTTTGAATCAACATTTAAAATCTGCATACATTAAAGAAAAACATTTCATGTTTTTCAAGGAAATATAAAGTTCCAGTAATGTCTAACAAGAACTTCAAAGAAAAAAGCCTCTGTATAGCTGAAGCAGCTCTAATACTCACGTAGTCGGCAGATGGGGCAATTGCTGGCCTGGTAGCGTAGAGTATCTGCACATGTATTGCACAGGCAGAGGTGTCGGCATGGCAGAATAAGTGTGTCTCGAACATCGGACAGACAAACCACACACTCGGCACTGTTGTCACTGACTTCATCTTCTGCCACCTGGTGTGGAATTAGGAAATATTATTAGTATACAGGATTTATATAGCGTCAACTTATATTGTAAAGCAGCGCTTTACAATAGAAGGAGGATATTACAGTCACAAAACAAGTGAAGGCAAGATGGTAAGGAGGGCCCTGCCCTGCCCATGAGAGCTTACAATCTAGAAAACAAACAAACATCTACCATCCTTGCACATTCACCAGGTCCAGCAACATTCACCAATTACCATTCTTGACTGATGGACTGCTGTTTACTGCATTATTTGCCCTATATGTGACCCCCATAAATGTCATGTTCACTTCAAATATGGGTGGCAGGTGCAGTAATGTCACAGGGAACCCTGGGGGGGATACCTCTTAAAAGTAGGGCTGCAGCTAATGATTATTTTCATAATCGATTAGTTGTCCGATTATTTTTTCAGATAATCGATTGGTTGCATTAAAAAAAAAATCTCCCTCTCTCTCTCTCTCCCCGTCTTCCCCAACCAACTAACCGATAATAAGAATAGTTGCCAACTATTCTCATAATCGATTATTATTGATTTAAAATCGATTAGTTATTGCAGCCCTACTTAAAAGTTCCCTGTGTCCTTGCAGAGAAAGACAACAGGTTTGTTTTAATGCTCCCCACCAGCAGTATATACTTACCACTTCTTCACTCACTGAAGCATTTTATAGCTGCTAGGAACAACAAAAATACATGGTGGGAAATGTATGCCCATGCCAACCAATCAACTTTTATCTTTCATTTTCAAAGCTTAACTCAACAAACTGAAGAGAGAAGCTGATTGGTTACTATGGACAACTGCTCCAGATTCTGTCTGCTCCAGTATTGATAAATTCCCCTCCATGATACTTTTAGGTATAGAGGTGCATTTGATTACAACCACGTTACAGCATGGGGCCAATCACCAAGCAGCAGCGCAGTCACATGGGGAGAGTCCATAGTCCTTGAAAGCTAAACTTCTGTGACTCAACTAAATTCTTTTTAACAAAAGGTAAAAAATAAATAAAGTATTGACAGTTGTGACTGCAGAGGGGGGAGGGTTTAAAAGCTCCAAATGCTTTAGGGGAGTGAAAGACTTTAAAATTAAGAACATTAATCATTCTGCACTGGTGTCTGAAAAGCTTTATACCTGCATGCATTCCTGAATGTGTAAGGACTACCTCACCAGTGAGGGACAAGGTGGATTCATGTAAACCTCTTCCTAGGATTCCTCTCCAAGCACCCGACAATGTTGAGAGGCGTGTGGGTTGGTGACAGCATGGTACGGAATCTAGAAAATAGGTTGTCCGAACACCATTCTGCTTTGGAATGTATCTTTATACGTATTCCTTTAGCAGGACATGTGAATGCAATGTTTCGGAGCCTCACAGGATCCTTCGTCAGGGAAAGTGTTTGGACACTTTGACACTCAAAGGGGTCCTGTGAGCCTCTGAAATGTTGCATTCACATGTCATGCTAAAGGAATTCGTATAAAGATGACATCCTGAAGCATAATGGTGTGCGGACAACGTATCTTCTAGACTGTATACTGTGGCGCCATCCACCAGTTGTTCCAACACCCATTGGATTCTAGGGTACATCAGTACGGTGTGCGAAGGAGGTATTACAAAAGCGTGGTACGGAAGCCACCTGCTTGATGTCCCCTTGCCAAGGGTATAGTGGCCAATTGTAGTTCAGAGACATGCGCAGTCAATGATCTACCTTGACCTGATCCAACTGGCTACCTAGTGCTGACCATTTCTTGCCGTGATAGGGATATAATTTTTTTAAATATGTTTATCATATAAAAGCAAGGAAACATTATAAAAAACACAATTTTACCCTCCAGCTGCTAAACCTGAATAAGAAAACTACTGAGAAGGTTGGCACCACATTTACTGATTCCTAAAATACAACCAGTTACTGAGTCCTAAACATTAGCTGGTTTAAACACTCAATGGCGCCATTGATAATGTTATAAATGCTTCCTGCGAATGTACCTGGATTTACTGGAGACCAACATATATGAATTTTATATAAACGCACCATTCAATGTTACGGGAAGCATACATGCAGATACCTTGGAGTCCTGTGAATTGTATTTATTTTCAATGCCGTAGATTTCCTGCAAGAGATAACTGACCCCGTCCACCTAAAACAAGAGTACAAAAGTAAGTTTCTGCTAAAGAAAACTCAGTTTGAAATATCCCTCATATTTATTCTTGTCTCACCACTTGTTTCTGCTTCAGAGGCTTTACACAGTAGCTGCTGTCTGCATGCTGCAAGAAAAGAGTGACATGGGTTAGAGGAGGAGGGAGACCCCAGCATCCATTACAAGAAGTCACAAATAGGCACAAACAAGCCTGCCCATTGAAGAGATGGTCTACTAGCCAGCAACTTGGGGAACTCGGCATTCTGCCTGGTGGTGAAATATTGGCATACCCATACTCTATACCGAGTTGATATACCTTTCTATTTTCTCTGATTTTTCTATTTTAACCACTTGAAGTCCGCAGTGTTAAACCCCCTTCCTGTCCAGGCCATTTTTCAGTATTCAGCACTGCGGTACTTTGACTGACATTAATTCCGCCGTACCAACATGAATTTTATGTCATTTTTTTGGGACAGATAAAACTTTCTTTTGGTGGTATTTAATCATCACTGGGGGGTTTTTTTTACTATATAAAAGGAAAAATACCAAACATTTTGAAAGAGAATCTGATTTCCCTACGTTATGCCATGAAACATTGTAAATACATACATATAGGCCAAAAAGTATTCTGCTACATTTCTTTGCCACATTGGGTAAATAGATACCAAACATGTCAAGCCTTAAAATTCCATGTGCCTGTGAAGTGGCAAAAAACTACAACACACAAAATTGCCCATAAGCGACGCTTTAACCCTTTCGCTGCCAAGTCCTGCGTTCCACTTTTGACCTCAGCTGGCCAGACCATTTTCAACTGCAGCTTTTAGAGTTTGTAAAAGCCCCCCCCCCCCTATAGTTTTCCTTAAAGCACAGGCTCGGTAGAATAAAAAGAAGATGGTGCTACTCATTTTTTAGGTCATGTGATAATTGCTCAAATCTTTATCAAATCAATATTAAACCGATAAGAATACACAATTACATCGATAAAAGCGCACTAAAATCAGTATCAGTGCACGCAAAAAACACTTTTCCGACTAAATCGAAAAGATAAAACTGTATTGGGTTAATAAATAACAAATATTTGTCAATTTTAAATTGCACCTCTTTGAGAAACGGTAAAAAAGGGAGCGCAAGAAACTGTAAATAAGCAACTTGCAGACATACGTTTAATCTCAACACAGCGTATTACAATGCACGGCAATGCATCACAACGCTTTGCCATGCGCTGCTGCGCAATTGAAATAATGTTATTTTGAAAAGAAAAAAATCAAGCACTGGGGTGTGCACACTGCTGCACATGTATATTATGTGTGTGCGTGTGTGCTGTGTTTTCTTTTTTTACTGTCGGAGGGGCTTGGAGGAAATATTAGGGGTCTAAATAGACCCCTGACATGTTGCTTTTAAAATAGAATAATAAATTGAGGATACAGAGTCCTCAATCTCTTTTTTTCTGCAGCCTCAGCACTGAATGAACAGAAAGCACTCAGTACAGAGGCTTTCCTATTCATTCATAAACTAACGAGCCATAGTACTCTCCCCAGTTATGAATGGATAGAAGCCTCTGTATTGAGTGATGTAAAGCACTTCATGTTCACTTATAACTGGGGGCAAATACTATGTCCTCCTTTTTTTACAAACAATGGAGGGATCAGCGATCACTCCAGTGTTTGTTCATATTTACCGATCCTCCGCTCTCCATCCTGAAGCGCTCAGCCACGCACAGGCCCGCTCTACATCCTGAATTTTGACAGTGGCTCTCTCTCTCCTCCCTGCTCAGCATTCTGAATTTGACAGTTCTCT